AGGCCCAATACTGTACACCTCTTGTTGGTAATATCTTAGTTGTTTTTGTTCACTGGAGGCATAATTACAAGAGCTTTATTCTAATGATTACCTTAGATCTTTTTCCTTTCTTTTTGAGAGAGTTCAATAATCCTTCTTCATGTGCTTTCTGGAGTGCCTGCAAGGGAAGAAGTTATCTTAAAATGCTGCTTTTAATGAGGTTAGTCACATGGTCTGGAAAATGAAAAGATCATGCCCAAGCTGAGGAAGTTTATTGCTTCTCTTTTTGAAAAAAAAAAAGAAAGAAAGAAAAACAAAAAATTCAATTCCTACCTTGTTCCTATATTTTGGTACAGTTAAAGCATACTGTACAGCTTCATTGTATCTGGACCAGGCATGAAGATACTATGGAAAACAATGAGGCAAGTATAATACAGTAAATAAATAGAAAATGCAAACACATGGGTTTTAATAATAATGAAACATTCTTAGAGACGCATTTAAAAATCTCAATGCGTTTACAGAGTAAAAGTTTTGTGAAGGAAGGAAAACTGAAGAAATTAGAAACAAATCCTGTAAATCAAGGAAGAAAATAGAAAACTCTACTTGGATGTGACACCAAGCCCAGGAATCAAACCAGAGACTCCAGAGTTGTGAATACCCTTGATTCCCACATGAATGTCATGTGAACTACACGTAGTCATGAGTTATGATCATAAAGAGGAAACACTGATTACCTGTAACACTGATATAACAGTGATGGTAACCGCAATAACCACACGCACATCAACTTTTGGAGCCATCCGTCGTGCATAGTAATGATAGTAGTGACGATATGTCTCCTCTGTTCAAAATAATATATATCTATTAATCATTTTATCTTTAATTATAGCCAACTATCTAGCCAACTTAATAGAACATTTTAGCTTGGTCCAATTTTCATGTGTCATTCCCTAGAGTATCATTTCTTTGTTTAGTGGTTGTGCATGAAAAGACACATGAACATGGATAGAACTCAAACAAAAAATCTTTTTCTTAAGGGAATGACACATGGTTTGAGCTAAGGTTTATGGTCAGTAAATGAATTCAATTTAACATCAAATTTACATACCTGGGTTATCCAGCATATAGTCATAGTCAGTTCTTTGTTCAGGATCTTTAAGAGTCTTTATAAATACATGTTGGTATTAGAATAAGTGCAAAACATACTGCTGCAACATGAAGTTACAGCACAGATATTACTGTTATCAGCACGCTTAGTAGAACACAACATATTGTATATACCTCATAGGCTGTGGCAATGAGTCGAAACTTATCAGCATTTCCTTCAACATCATCACCCTGAGAAAAAAGTATTAGAGAATATGTGAAACGTTAGAGTTATTTTTATTTATAAATATCAATGATAGCTAGAGCTATATCAATTACCAAGCCATAACAATATATAACAGTTTATTCTTAAGGCAGCTTACTTTGTTATTTATTGGTGATATGCACAGTAGTTACAGCATAGTCTCCCAACAATTTGTAGTGTTGAGTGTTGTAGGTAGTGAGTATATAATGGAAGTTAATCTCACTGAAGAACATATTTTGGGAATCCATGATTGTAAGACATCACTGCTTTTTGTTTTGTTTGAGATCAGAATTGTGAAACAATATGGTATTTCATGTTGACTTACCCTGTATCTATCTGGATGGTACTGTCTTGCTAATTTTCTGTATGCTTTAGAGATATCACTCTAGAAAAGAACACAAAGGAAAAGAAAAATGGCTTTCAAAAACCCATCTTTCAATAATGACACACTGCTGATCAACACTTATCTTTACACAGTATTATGTCATTCAAGATTTCAATCGTTCTGTTTAAAAGAGCAGACTAAAAAAACTTCATTTTGGACTCTACTTACAGAGAAGGTCCTATTTTGATAAGCATATTTGCTAACTCATAGTATAGTATATAAGATTGAGAGTCCCTGAAAGGAGTTCTACAATGAACTACAATAAAACTTGACCCCTTTTTTCCCCCTCAATCTTGGAAAAAAACCCTCAAAACTGCACAGAGCACATTACTTAGTGCTAATTCTTAGTGATGCCCATTTCTTCATAAAAAATGGTAAAAACATGGTTCAATATATACCCTAACCCAATGATTCAATAAAACACAGTATATTTTTTAGCAAACATCAAATAAAGTCTAGAAAAATAAAGCTCTACTATATATACATATGTACTAATTTCTCAGCAGCCATATTGAAAAGATAAGAATAAATTGGTTTATGTGTGTATTAAAAATTTTCATTGTATATATATTTGCACATAAATCTGAAAATAAAATCTTAGGTACAAAGTAGGAGTAGATTTATAGTGACAGCACACAACTATTGCTATGGAAACCATCAACCCTGAATTTCTAGGGTGCAAAATTTATAATAACACATCTATTCTCTTACATGACATTGTATTTTTTATGTAAACCAGTAAAATAGTGATTTAGATTATTGATTTTTAAAGATCTAAAACTCAATTTGAAAAAAAAATTGGATATGGGATTGAGATTTCTTATTACGATGCATTATATCTTTTTCTAGTTAAATTCTTTTTAAAAAAAGATCAAAATCAAGCTTAAATTTCATCTTGGTTTAAGTCACTATAATACACTGTAAGACAAGAAAATACTTTACATTTAAATGAATTTCGAAAATATCCCACTTGATTTACTATAATTTACTAGTACAGTAAATATATAGACGCGTATTAGCTATTTTATAATGTAGTTGCCACCGTTAACTCTACGGATTTATATATCTAATTTGATTAAAAAAAGCCACGTAATCACACGTAAAAATCCTAACTAAATAAACAACTCTTTTGATAAACAAGGCAAGAAATTGTTTGCAAACGTAAAACTAATTAACAGGTTAACGACTTTCAATAACGGGCTCTTTGTTCAAATAAAAATTATGAAATATGAGATTATCACTTGAAGTGGGGAAAAAAAAAGATTACGGACATCAGGGTAGTTTAAAAAGTTTCATTAGAAGCGAAACAAGAACTTTTTCTAGTTTAATTTAGTCGATAAATGGTTTGTCATGGATCAATTAGCAGAATTTACTAAATCACGAAGTTACACGTATTCTTCTAAACGAAGGAACCTTTCTACCAACCTTTGATGAATCTCTAGTCACTCCAAGAACTGTAGGAAAAAAGAAAATCATGATCAAAACTCATCATCGATTAAAAAATACATGAATGATAATCTTCCCGGGTCATCTCATACTGGCCAAAAAGAGGTTTCATAAATGAACAGACATCAAAAATAAAGAAAAAATCAAAAAATATTTTCCCGATTGCCTTACCGTCATAACAGTTTTCTCTGCCACAGTATAGGCCTTCTAAAAATCCATGAACTATTGGAGTAATATTAAGAATTGCTACAAAAAGTAGAACTAAATATCTTTGTTTTACGAACATGACTGAAAATATTGAGTGAGAAATGGAATATGAGCCTGTGATATGTCAGCGGATGTACCTCATAATCTATCCCACAATGCATCATTAACAACACAACCGAAAGTCAATTTGAAAGGTAAAAATAATAAGTCTGAAAAAAAGTCATTATTAATTTTTTAACATTAAATTAAGACGAAGATAGTGTCTTATATAACTCAAATGAGTGGAATACTCAAGAACAAGTACAGTACGAATTTTTTTAATGAGTCACGCAAATGTTAGTCACGCAGTAATGTGAGTATTATGTGACATATCCATATCATTTGTTTATCACGAGACACAAAGACTGAAAACATTCAAGTAACCAGCTGGGCCCGCTATCAGTCAGTCTATTAAAAGGGGCAGCCATGGCCGAATGTAAAGGTTGTTTAAGATACCAGGACAAAGTTACTATTGTAACTGGGGGATCCAAAGGAATTGGGGAAGGAATTGTGCGAGAATTCGGTAAGTTCGTTTGAAATATCAAAGAGCAGCTCAGCTGACAACTGAGAATTCTTTTGATCTCATGGAATGTAAAATTTAAAATTTTTATGTTCATTTTACTAAAAATACAAGGTTTTGTAGGTCTTATATGTGTGCTTTCGTTTATATTTTTTGCCCATCAACTGGGCAGTTGAGCTGCAGAGTAAATTAGTCTAAATTCTTATTGTTCTTTCACCATAAACAAACTGTCATGTCATTAGTGAAATATAGCATTTAAATTAGAATTACTTTCATATACTAAGACTTAATTCATATTTTACAGTGAAAGCTGGATCTAAGGTCGTGTTTTGTGCAAGAGGAGGTACGCATAGTTGGTTTAAATATTATTTAATCTTTATTTTCTTGAAAGGGAATGTCAGAAAGAAATTATGCTATTTTACAGTTCTCTTCACTGACCACAAATAATTCCAAGTTCCAAGACAAGGTTGGAGTTGCCACGCATAGTAAAAAGCATATTTTCGTGCAGTGACTCAAACCATGACTTGGAACTATATTAGCATGGTCACTGAGAGGACCTGTAAAATGGAGTATTTGAAGAAATCTCCTCATTGCCACCCCTCGTGAAGTTGATGAAACACTGGTTTGAGTTGGCATTGAAGTGCATCATAGACCTGCCGGATATAGTCCACCAACATGGCCATAGTTAATGGTGTACTTGAATGAAAATGAAGAATAACTTAACTTGCATACATTATTTGTTTATTTTGTATTGTAGTTGATGTAGGGAAAAAGCTGGAGGCTGAAGTGAATGCTGCTGGACCAGGAGAATCTATGTTTATCAAATGTGATGTAACAAAAGAAGATGATCTTAAGGTATGATTAAAACACCCCAGACACATCCAATCCATCCTGATCACATCAGATCCATCTTAGTCACATCCAATCCATCCCAGTCCCATCCAATCTATCCCAGTCCCATCCAATCCATCACACTCACATCCAATCCATCCCAGTCACATCCAATCCATCCCAGTCCCATCCAATCCATCCCACTCACATTCAATCCATCCCAGTCACATTCATTCCATCCCAGTCACATCCAATCCATCCCACTCACATTCAATCCATCTCAGTCACATTCATTCCATCCCACTCACATCCAATCTATCACAGTTACATTCAATCCATCCCAGTCACATCCAATCCATCCCAGTCACATCCAATCCATCTCAGTCACATCCAATCTATCCCAGTCACATCCAATCCATCCCAGTCCCATCCAATCCATCCCCAGTCCCATCCAATCTATCCCAGTCACATCCAATCCATCTCAGTCACATTCAATCCATCCCAGTCCCATCCAATCTATCCCAGTCACATCCAATCTATCCCAGTCACATCCAATCCATCCCACTCACATTCAATCCATCCCACTCACATTCAATCCATCCCAGTCCCATCCAATCTATCCCAGTCACATCCAATCCATCCCACTCACATTCAATCCATCCCACTCACATTCAATCCATCCCAGTCACATCCAAATCCATCCCACTCACATCTAATTCATCCTAGTCACATGAGCTGCAAATGAGCTGCTGACATTTTGGGGGCATTTGGTCAATTTTAAATCTTCTCTAGGTTTTCCACAGCTAGACCAGTCCCTTATTTTCTCACATTACTTTAGGTATTTTCTCATCAATTTATTTCCATTAATATGTAGAGTCTGGTAGACAAAACTGTTGAAAAGTATGGCCATTTAGATTGCTTAATTAATAATGCTGGATGGCGTAAGTATAAAATTTGGAATTTATTAAGTAGATGATGCTTGAGTTTTCTTAATGGACCTGAAGGAATTTCATAAACTAGAATCTCTTCTATATCCTGGAACAACCTCTGGGCTGATCTAAGTCAGGCCATGTCTAACTCACAGATCCAACCCTGAAACAACCTCTGGGCTGATCTAAGTCAGGGCATGGCTAACTCACAGATCAAACCCTGGAACAACCTCTGGGCTGATCTAAGTCAGGCCATGTCTAACTCACAGATCCAACCCTGAAACAACCTCTGGGCTGATCTAAGTCAGGCCATGTCTAANTCTAACTCACAGATCCAACCCTGAAACAACCTCTGGGCTGATCTAAGTCAGGCCATGTCTAACTCACAGATCCAACCCTGAAACAACCTCTGGGCCGATCTTTGTCAGTAGACATGGCAAACTCACAGTTCAAATTTGATTTAGCATACTATTTGTTAAGTTTTGTGGAGAAAGGGAATGAGAACCTGAAGAAAACCCCTCAACAAATCAAGGTAGGGATGCAAAATCTCTTCTCACATGTGATGCAGAGTCTGGGAATAAAACCTGATATGTGAGAGGTGAGAAATTAAGGCATGCGTCTACTGCTTCACCACCCTTGATTATAGAGTACTTGTTCACAGTTTACAGCATTATGATTATTACCTTTGAATCAGATCCTCCTGCGAAGACCATTGATGACACAAGTGTAGAAGATTTCAAGAGTCTACTAAACTTTAACTTAGTTAATTACTTTATATTATGCAAGGTAAGATATTAGCTTAACCAATTAATGAAATGAAATGTTTTTTTTGCTTTCATGATTATTTACAAATACACACTACCACTTACCTGTATCAAAAGAAAAGATTTTGCTTCTTGCAATGCTGCATTAAAATTGCAAGATTTCATTTAATTCCCTGAACATTGTTGTTTAAATGGAAGTAAATCTTGATTGTACGTCTTGCAACGATTGCAGTTATAAAGCATGCATCACTGAGCAGAGCAAGAGTAAAGTGTTGTGCTTCTTTTCTAACTCTTCTCTCATACTTTACCAATCCCGCGTGCTTTATAACAGTTACTGTACTCAGCACAGCAAGGACATATAAATACTCTTTTTTACAGTTCCATTCAGTGACCACGAATAATAGTTCCTAACCGAGACTGGAGTTTCCGCGCATGATAAACTGTAGTTTTGCTATGCGCGGAAACTCCAGCCTCGTTTAGGAACTATTATTCGTTGTGTTAGAATAGCTTTTACTTTGCATACGAATCATGCAATAGAAATTGCGCAAGCATGCTGTGTTCTCTCATAAAGCACGCGCTCTCAGCCAAACAAAAACCAAGACGTTACCAGTTCGATAAATCTTCGTTACTTACTGATGCGTTCTCGTTTTTTTGTTGTACACGTCCAGCTCGCTCTCCCGCATCTTCGTAAAACCAAAGGAAACATAATCAACGTGTCGAGTCTTGTGGCACAAATTGGTCAAGCTAATGCAGTAGCTTACGTCTCTACAAAGGTTTGATCATGCGTTTCTTTAGATTAACGCTTCGACTATTTAATTAATAGTCAAGATCAAAATACTGTTCCAAAATGGTGACCCAACGATAACAACCGCCTCCCCCTCAGAAACCAGTTGAAACGATCGATCCGGGAAAAAACGGCAGATTTTTAAAAATTAATTCGGTTTCTTCGTTCGTAGGGTGGTATAACGTCTATGACTAAAGCACTCGCTGTTGATGAAGCCAAGCATGGTGTCCGTGTCAATAGGTAAGACTCCTACAAGTAACCCCGGTTGTGTCGGGGTCTTGATCTTTGCTACAGTGTGGTTTTAGCCCAATCATAGCCTCTTAAAGCAAAATATCGAAATTGTGTTGTCTTTGCAATCGTTACAATATATTTTGAATAAAGACCATTCATTTCTATAGTCTATCACCCGGTAATGTCTGGACACCATTGTGGGATGAACTTGCTCATGGGACGGCTGATTTTGAAACAAGCAAACGAGAAGGCGAAGAAGCACAGGTAATAGTGAATCTTGACTTTGAAAAAACGAACATTCCCCAAGGTATGATTATTTATTCAGCACCATTCATTGAAAACACGCCCCAATCAGAATGCAGGAAGCCGTTGTATACTCGGGATATTCCACTCTTCCTTCCCATCAGACCTTGTTTCATTTAATACAAACGTTTTCATAACACACCCAAAGACTCTTGTATATACAAAATACAAATACCTCGTGAAATATTCCTTGGTATACCATGGTATACCTCGTCGATATAAAATGAAATGTTGACATTTGTACTCATTTGCAATCATTTTGTTTTCTAGTTATTAGGTCGCATGGGGACCCTAGAAGAATCAGGCAAATCGTGTTTATATCTGGCTGCAGATGCGACATTCACTACTGGTGTTGACCTATTTCTGTCTGGAGGTGCTGAACTCAACTATGGCAAGAAAACAAGGCTTGATCAATAAATTTGTAATTCATAACTTTCTTTCTTAAAAAAATTACTTCATTCGGGAGAAGTGGATATACTCCCATAATAAGCTGCACGAGGATGTAACCGCTCGTTCATGAAAATGTACGGTATTTCAGAATTAGAATTTGTTTTATTATCAAATAGAGTATAGTATCAGATGATCATGAATTGTCGACCATAGGTTCTTATTTGTACCACGTGCAGTAGTTTGAAACCCCCATCAAATACGACCGCACCCATTTCAAAGTTCTAGTACTTTGAAATATTTCAAAGTCCTACTCAGACAGACTTAAATCTGCGCAGTACGTGAGCGCATGAATTTTAGGCACCGTCCTTGAGCCCGCGATCTTTCGTTGATTCGTTTCCATGTCAGCATTAATTGTCGCTCCAACGGTCACGGTCGCATTCTTGAGTGATTAAAAGTCAATAACATGACTGTCTGCTGAGCAAAGTGAAATTGGAATATTAGCCAGATTCTAATGTGGTAACGAATGATTCAAGGTCTAAGCTCCCAGCGCAAGCATACGAGTCTTGTGGTCGTGTAAGCGGAAGTGATGGCAAAGGCATATAAACATGATGTTTTGCATGGAAGTAGTTTGAAATGTCTTACTAATGACGATAGCGTTTCAAGTTGTTCAGTTTACTGCGGCAGAAGATCAACCTTTCTTTTGTCCAATGGAGTTCTCTGCCTTACAGGATTTATTGTTACATCTTTCGCCACGTTTTTGTTGGTCGTCGAAGGGTCGTTTGTTCAAGGAAGCAGTGTTGAATACATTACTTTAACACTGGCTACTTCGATAATCATTCCCGGAATTGTAACCCTGCTGTCTTGTTCCGCAGTCTGCTTCGCTTCAAATCGCAGACGTTTGCCATATTTATATAATACTTTGAGCATGATATTCAGCTGTACTGTGATGTTTGAGATAATGGTGTTCATTTTCGGTGTTGGTCAGGTGGTGCAAGTTGAAGAACTAACAATCGGCATTGTCGAATGGAGTCGTTTTATTCAGTATTATCAAGAAGAACATATTAGAAATGACCTCGACGTCATACAAAAAGAGCTCAAATGTTGTGGTTTTAAAAGCTACAAAGACTGGGATTTGAATCCATATTACTCATGCAATTCTACAGGTTACTCAAGATGTAGTGTGCCATTCTCTTGTTGCAAGCTTAAGAACGCAGGCGCTACTTGCGTTTTAGGAATAAGAAATCCAAAGATAACTGAAGCAGAGCTAAGAGAATCTATTTATTTAGATGGGTGTCTGAGGACTAGTCAAATATGGTATAAATATAGTATCATTCTTCTAAGTATCTCTGCGCTTCTCATGGCATGTATACAAGGGTTTTTCCTAAACTTCATGGCTCGTTATGTAAAAAATATCGAAAAGGAAAGCGACGATACATATCGTTCAAACTCCCCCAAAAATGAATACTCATCAGTTTTGAAAAAAGACACGATAGTGAAAGATAAACAAAAACCCAGCATTAGTTATGTACATATGGAATTGTAGGGGGTTCCCCTGGCTAGGGTTCCTCTCAGCTGCTCACTGAAACTGAATACACTCTTTCGACTTGATCAAAGAAACCGTGCCAGGTCAATAACATATACAGGGCCCTACAGGGCCTCAAATTGAGCATGATAATGTTGAACCTCAGCCAGCCCAAACAAGGTTCCTGTGCGTCTGTCATAACATAAGGAAAATGATCATGATAATATATGGCACTTCAAAATAAACGCTTCGTTAACGACTTGCTGTAATAAAACGTGCTGCAGTCGTTCTCTAATCTAGCTCCTATATATGACGAAGTTTACTTATGATTTATGTCTTTTTGCTCGATTGAAAAAATATTGTCTCAAAACATGGCTAATCTTGTGTTAACTTAATTAATGAGAAACTCGTGAGTTAGCAATTACGTAATATAAGTTGATCATATGACTTTCACGCTACATTGTTGTAATACAAAAAGGCCATTACAAAGATAACTACCAATATGGAAAACGTGGCTGCTACTTTAACCGAAGAGCTTGTTCATGGATCGAACAAGAATACGATGGAGACACCAATGGCTTCTAAGCCACAAGTAATAGTCGAGCCAATAGATTCTCTATCAGATCAGAAGGTTGATGTAAAAATATTGGATCTTCCTGCCGGTGCTGAAGTGACCTTGCGAGCCAAACTGACCAGCGACCAAGGAAATGTTTTTGTGTCATTTGCTCGTTATGAAGCTAGCAAAGATGGTACTGTATCGGTCATGGATGATGTATCAAACGGTGGTACTTATACAGGAGTAGAACCTATGGGACTGCTTTGGTCCATGAAGCCAGCCCAAGGACAACGTGAAGGACTTCGGTTGAGCAAGCGTGATGTTTCTAAGCCATACGTTATTCATCTTGACGTGTTCAAGGGTAGTGAGTGCTCAGATGAAGCCATCCTTGCTAGCGTGACATTTCGACGTCATTTTATGGGCAAAGGCGTGCGTAGGATCCCTGTGCGGGTCGGCAGAGTTAGGGGTACCCTATTCCTTCCGCCAGGAAATCAGACATTTCCAGGTAATGATGCTTGTCAATATTTTTATGATGATTAACAGTTATAGATATTTTATTGCAAGGGTGAAGAAAGTAGGTGAACGCTTGCTTTTGCTCAAGGTAAACTCTGAAACAACCTCAGGGCTGATCAATGTCAAGGCATGGCTAATAACTCACAGATCAAATTAGATATTACATCTTGGGTTTTACGGAGGGAGGAAAACCGGAGACCTAGCAAGATCACTCACGTGATGCCGAGTCTAGGAACTGACTCATAACCCCTGAGGAGAGAGAACAATTGGGAAGGGGTAGGGGAGGAGGAGGAAGGGCTATGCAACCGTGTAATCGAACCGGGTCCAAGCTCAGGTTCGGTCCAATCATATTTTCTGCGGACACCATGTCTTATTTAGCAGGTATATTGGGAGGTGTTAGAGGGCCGTTAAATGTGTTAGTTACCAGTTGTCCTCCCTCGGTAAAAATTCACACGCGAGTGAAAACGTTGCTTCTTAAACATGAAAAGTTGTTAAGGTAACAAATTATCATTCATTCCTCAGGTGTGATAGACTTGTTTGGCACGGCTGGCGGTTTACTGGAGTTCAAAGCATCCCTACTAGCATCCCATGGATTCGCTGCTTTAGCTCTAGCGTACTTTGGCTTCGATGACCTACCTAAGGCAGTGACAGACATCAGCCTGGAATACTTCGAAGAAGCTCTTGAATGGTTTACCCGACATGAAAAGGTTCAGCCAGGTGGTGTTGGAGTCATGGGCGTGTCTAAGGGATCAGAGCTAGTCCTAACACTGGCATCACACAGACCAGAGCTGGTTCGTGCTGTTATTGCCATATCCCCTGCCCATGCTATTGTTGCCATCCCTTTAATGATACGTGGAAAACCATCCGCGTTTGTAAAATTTGAGCCCGAGTTTTCAAGGCTATCCCCAGATGGCGGTATTGAATGGGTTGATACGTACCCTGACAATATATCTTGCGGTGACGTTTGGCATCCTGCTGTTATTCCAGTAGAAAGAATCGAGTGTCCAATAATGTTGGTCAGTGGAGAGGATGATAAAAGTTGGCACTCGACTCAGATGGGAGATATGATCATGCGCAGATTACGCAAATACAACAAACAGCATCTAGGTGTACATTACCGTTACCATGGTACCGGGCACTTGATAGAGCCTCCTTATACACCTCACTGTAAGAACTCTTATCATAAAGCGTACCGGATGTTGGTCCACTGGGGGGGAGATGCGAAATCTCATTGTTATGCTCAAGAAAAGTCATGGGAAAATATTCTAGAGTTTTTCCATATGAACATTAGTAAAGGACCAATGAAAAGTAATCTCTGAAAAACCATGTCATTATATAGGTTGTAGTGATGTTAAATATCAAGACAAAAATGTTATGAAAATATTTCCATAATTAAAATAAAGCTGCTGTTACTAATAATACCATGTATTTACACGGGAGAGCCTGAATGTACCACAGGGAGCCCGGCTTGGTGATGCTAAATCGGTAAAACGATCACGTTTCATATGTTGATGACATTACATAATAATCGTAACTCAATACACCCCTATACATACATGTACCAAAGGTCACTATGTAATAGAACACCAGTGTTTGTAACGCATAACTTAATACCGTGATAAATTCAAATACGTAATTGCATTACGAGTTCTAATTACGTATATATATATATTTGTAATAGGGGTGTATTGAGTTACGATTATTATGTAATGTCATCAACATATGAAACGTGATCGTTTTACCGATTTAGCATCACCAAGGCGGGCTCCCTGTGAATTTACCACTAAAATCAAGAATCAATGCTGGTTTAGAATAGACATCTATTGTAGGCCCACTAGTCTACTAATGCATATATTCTTACGTATATTGTTCTTGACAAACATGCCGTAAAAACTTCTATAGTCAAATAGACACACACAAAAAAATGGAACTAGGGTTTACTAATGTTTATTTAATATAGATATCGATGAAACACCAGGTTTTCTCTAGTGTCGAAAACTTTATATCTTTCACCAGTGGAAGATACCATATCTTTCACAGGTGAAGATATGGCTGTTGAATCAGCTTGCTATTTTAATAAAGAATTTTTGAGCTTTTGTTTCATTGATATCTATCTAATAAACAGAACATTACATGGGCACTTGGAGATACGAATTTTATCTTCTCGTGTTCAATTTAGATATCTCACTCGTTCGCTGCGCTCACTCATGAGATATCAATTGAACACTCGAAGATAAAATTTGTATCTCCGTGCGCCCATGTAACATCCTCTATATATTACTCTAATATCCATTTCACAGCCCCCTGGTCATAAGCTCAGAACTCAAAATTGAAAACTTTTATACAAGACTGTATTACTTTCAACTTTTTATTTATAACTCCACATTGAAGAATTTTACAAGCAGAAGGAACAAGTTGGAATACTTCTCACTAAAAAAGAAAACAATTAAAAAAAAACATTAGAAATGACATTAGAGGAACATCAGAATTACAAATATTCACATTCTTTGTTTTAAAAGCATATATGTTACCTTACACTGAGTGTGTATATGGTCAAGAATAAATAAGAAATAGTCACATATGTGATTAAGAAAATTTGATTTTAAATTATTTTGTTTGAAAGGCCTTGGTTTGGTTGGCGGCCAATGTCAGAGCATACATTTGTTTAACTTTGTCCTAATATTCTATGGATATAGCACTAATATACTTTAATTTTTAAGAATGACTAGAACTCTTTAGCATGTTTTCCAATATCAGACCACATGTTATTGTCAAAAGATTCTTTGCTTAAGTTGCATCCATATTCATGTGTCTTCTCATGTACAACCATTAAACAAAGAAATGATACTCTAGAGAATGACACGTGGTCTGAAATGGGGAACATCATACTCAAGGTAAATAATTTAATTGACACATATTTCACACACTAACATTAGTCAATCCCAATTATCAAATCATTTAAAAATCAACGGCATTTATCAGTGGCATTTCTACAGAGTGGCTCTTCATCCACTGAAATTGCAATTGGGATTTACAAGTTGATTCTTGTGGAGGGAGAAAAACTAGATAACCTGCAGAAAAACCTTTGAAGTACAAGAAAGAACCAACAAACAACTCTACTCACATATGACACCGTAATCAAGATAACGAGTGAAAGGAGAATTCATATGCATTCACCCAACATCAGGAAAACAGATACATTTATTAATATTAAATAACACCATAACTTTACTCACCTTCTTGCCAGCACCAATTTTTGACTTCTTTATTCCTCTGACCTTCTTCATTCTGTTTTTCCTTTCTTTGCGTTGTTTTCTAGAACTCTTTTCCCTTTCATAAAGGCCATGCTGTAAAACGAAGACAAAAGATTGGTTTTTTTAGTCAGGAGTCACCTCTGGGCTCATCTAATAAGCCTGAAGCGAGATGACATTTTACCCACGACTCTATACCATAATAGTTTTTAAAAATCTTTCATTATTAAAATTTTTGATTCCTTAGAGAATACAGGAACAATATAGTCATAATTAAAGAACAAAAAGCAATGTGAAAAGGATTATGGTCTAGAGACGGGGTAAAACGTCATCTTGCTTCAGGCTTATTCAGAACACAGGCTAAACTCATACATCAAATTGGAAATTAGATTGAGAGGTTTTGGAGGGAGGAATACAATTTTAAGAAAGCCCTTAAATCAAAGGAGAGACCTAACAAACACTACTCACATGTGATGGTGAGTCTAATAATCCAACCTGAATAATTTCTTAATTAATAAATTGTCATGAAATTGAAAAATGAAGATAACCTTAAATTTTTGGGTTGTTTAAATTTTCATTCCAAAATTCTTTAAATTTCCCCTCAAAAGGATTAAAGCTTCGTGAACAGGCATGTATACATGTACGATCAATATTTGATAAGTACCATACAACATGGCCATACTGGTAAAAAATTTCATCTTCAAAAGGCTTATTTCAATAATTATAGCCTTTGACAATATGGTGCATAAAGGAGGTCAATAAGTATATGGGTTTCTCCAGTGTGCAAAATAAAATAAATTCAATTATTGCAAGATCATATTATGTACACTTAGTAACTCCCATATTAGCAATCCTGTTAGGCATATGCAAAAATGGCTTAAATAAACTGTTGGGCTGAGGCGAATTGTTTGCTTAAATTCTGATTTTCTATCTTCACAAAAGGTCATAATCGTAATCATAAATGATGTCACTGCAAAACTGAGGTATCATAAAGCCTGCGAAAATTGATCAGTGAAAAATAAAAAAATAAAAACATGCCCGCAACTGGAATAATAATAGAAAACACATGAATTATCATTATACGAAAAAAATAGCCGAGTAATAAAGAGAATGTAAGAAATGACGAGAAATTAAAGATAAAGAAAACGAAGAAAAATGCCTGAAAAGAGCTAGGTTTCAAGATCATWATGGGGRTTTAATTTATATAGTTTCATGCAGCAAAGTTTCTTTTTGTTTTTCCAACATGATTATTTTAAAATCCACTGTTGGTCTTGTATTAAATAAATGTTTGATCTCCACTTTTTCATGTATTATGTCCGTTATTAAGCGCATATTAGCAACACTATTATTTTTTATTTTGTGACCTTGAAATCTATGATTTCATGTGAAAAGTGACACATCAGTTTTGCAAATTTTCTCAGTTCTGATTGGCTGACATAATGAAATCACAAGATTATATTTCATTTTGGTTCGTTTTGCAAACTGCAGTAAGCCAGAGTGAACAACAAAGAACAAAACTTACTCTAGCAAGTCTGTATTTGGGTTCAAATTTCTTGAGGGCATCAAGGTTATCATAGACTAAAGCAAATCCAGTGCTTCTTCCACCACCAAAAGCTGTTTTGAAACCAAAAGCAACAATAACATCTGCAGTAGTCCTGTACATCTTGGACAGCTTCTCTCTGATCTCAGACTTAGGGACACTGGCTCGGCCAGGATGAAGAATATCTACGACCTGAGACATACAAACACATTTCTTTGTTACACGGAATGTACTATACAACTTAAACATTACAGACTCTTGCTATAGGTTACCTTCATGAAGATTTGGAAAGCATAGTAAAAGAGCTTTAATAAATCTGGCTTTCTGATTGGTTGTTTGATCATGCTTTATCAGAGCATAAAGCACTTGCACTATCCAAAATAATAACTATCGTAATTTGTATTTATTTTAAATTATCACTCATTCTGCCATGTGCTCTCGTAAAGCAAGATCTACAAAACAGCTTTTTTGATAAATAATAATTTCTATTACTTGTGGTACAGTTTGGTGTTGTAATATGTCATGTATGAACAACATATGTAATCAAATTTTTTTCGTGATACTTACCATTTGCTTTCGAGAAAGCAGGCGGTTGGTGAGGAATTTCCTCGTACGAATGGTAGCTGTTCCTTCGCTCTAAAAAATTAGAAACATCAATATTTGTAAACCTTTAATACTATCATGTGCACGACCGACTCGTGTCAAGCAATGCTTCTGGTAGAAAATATACTTCGAAAATCATAATAGCATATATCAATATATCAACTATTTTATTAAGAAAATAATCCTTAACAGACTGACAAAAAAAAGATTATGGTTCGCTAATTCTTTGTTCAGAAAGTATTCGAATCAACATCATGATTTGGTCTTCGACGTACTACACATTTTACCTAACTTACTCCACTATAGTACGTTATATCAATCAAATGCAATAACTAACAATAAGATTAGACATTGGTAAGTAGCTGAGACGTGAAATTAGTAAGGACAAAGTATAGATGGCAGGGATTTAGAAGGATTATTTTTTAGTAGTACAAGAAACCCACCATTTTGAATCGGAGGACTTTTCAAGAGAACGAGAACGAGTTTCAAAGTGAGGCTTGTAACCTTGCCACAGGAAGCCCAAACAAGGTTCCTGCATATTTGGTTTAGAGTTTATTAGGATACAAATAGATAAGTATATAACTGAAAAATTCGCTGTAAATGCTTTTCCACTACAAATAACAACTGTAGTAAATGTCAAACTAAATGTATAAGTCAAACATTTTATTTTAAACATCCGTATCCTGAAACACACACATGAATCTTATTTGGGCACCCTGTGGTCTTTCAGGATTCAAAATGGCGGACGGAGAGAGGGAATCAACTGCAGACACAACACACAAGAAAAAGAAGAAAAAAACGACCAAAAAGAAGCCTGTTACATTCACAAAACCCTCCATAAGGAAAGATGAAAAGCTTATTAACAAATATCACGCTCTAAAGAAATTACAAGAAGCCGTTAAGAAAGACAGTCAACTTCAAAGTGAAAAGAAAGCTGTAAAACTGAACGAGTTGAATACAAAGTTGGAGAAACTTGGAGGAATCGATGCTTATCAAGAGGCTTCGCGACTTGGAGAAAAACGATATGGAGGCTTTAATAGTGCTAAATGGGTGTTGAAACAGCTGAAAGAGAATGGTATACATCCAGACAAAGATCACAAGTTTCGATTACTGGATGTTGGAGCCTTGTCTTGCAACTACACTAAGCAAAAATCGTGGATAGATTGTACATCAATAGATCTTAATCCTCAAAACCATATGATTATGGAGGCAGATTTCCTACAGATTGATTGTAAAGCATCACAGTATGACATTGTAGTGTTGAGCCTTGTAATCAACTTTGAAGGTGATCCAGTCAAAAGAGGTGAAATGCTAAAACAGTGTACAAAAATCATAGCAAAAGATGGCTATCTCTTTGTGGTACTTCCTTTGCCTTGTTTGATGAATTCTAGATTCTCCTCGAAGGAGTTGTTTTTGAGTATGACACAAAGTCTTGGTTTTAAAAGGATAGCACAGCACAGCTCTCGACGACTGTATTTTGTTATGTTCAAGAACACTGGTAATGTCAATTTCAAATCATTTCCACGAAAAATCACAAGAAAAGGTGATGGACATAATAACTTTGTAATTGTCCTATAAGATTTGATGAATGATTTTGTTATCTTTCAAGATCATGGAGGGAAATTATTTTAGGTGTATAGTGGACACACCCACTTTCACACACCAATGAACATTGCACAGGCATTTTGCTCCCCTTTGCCTCCATCATTTCATTGCCCGGGGGGTACTCCCCTATATTTGCTATACAGGTTTGTGCTGCCCTATAGGGTATGGTTTTTTGGCTTTGGGTCTGGGGTAGGGTATCCTTTTTTGACATTTTGTCTGGGATAGGGTATCATTTTAGTCTGGGATAGGGTTAACGATTTGATCGTTTTTGTCTGGGGAATAGGCTACACTTTCTGCTGGCACAAAAACAATAAAAACGTTAGTAAATATTGATTGCAATCGATTGTAAAACCGTATTTTCCCTTTTTTTAGTCTGGGATAGGGTGTACAATTTTTAGTTTTAGTCTGGGGTAGGGTATGTAAAATCAAAATTTTAGGTCTGGGATAGGGTCAAGGTTTTGAGGTCCTGGCGGCACACCCCTACCCAAGTTGGGGAGGTAGTACCCCCCAGGGTAATCGATTGTAAAACCATATTTTCCATCTTTTAGTCTGGGATAGGGTGTACAATTTTTAGTTTTAGTCTGGGGTAGGGTATGTAAAATCAAAATTTTAGGTCTGGGATAGGGTCAGGGTTTTGAGGTCCTGGCCGCACACCCCTACCCAAGTTGGGGCAGTAGTACCCCCCAGGTTGTACTGTCTCCAATGCTAGAGGTTAAATGGTATTCTTGTTTCCAATACTGGAGGTGGTTGGGAGTGACTATCAAATTAGAATCAAAATTTACTATTCAACAGTGCGACTTTATTTGGTTTTGTAAGTTGTGTGTAAAAACTTATCTACAGAGGTCCCCTGTATTGTTAAGGTATGTAAAGCTACTAAGAGGAAGGAGGACTGCATGGATTCTGAGTTTTAAAACAGCACATACCTTTTGAGAACCTTGCTTTACTTTTTCATACCCCTTTAAAATTACTACCTTTTATTTGACATTCCCACCCAAGACAGTGCTCTTTTTTTAAATGCTGTTTTCCCCTCAAAATCCACATGCTCCCTCCAACCCCCCTCCCCTCCCCCCACAAATATTGAACTGTTTTATTGAACTTATATTTTCATGTCACATGACTTTTGTAAAGCTCTATGTATTGCTCCCAATTAGAGATCAATAACTTTGACCACATAACCCGAGTATCAGGCTCCCCTCCCCTTCCAGGGCCTGCTACTCAGGTTATTGATCACAGAGAACAGAGATATATTTATGTATTTCACATTAAAAAAATAAAATTGAATATCCTCAAAGTATACAATTTTGAAAATATGAGACTAATAATATGGAAGCCAAGAATAGTTTTAAAAAAAGGGCACAAAAGGGGCCGCTTCTCTGTTTGTCTCATTGCAATAAGACAATTAGAAGGAGTACCATGCAAGGAGCCTAGATCTTATTAGTAAGGCTAAAATATGTATTCAACTGTGTATCAAACAAAGTCAAATAAGAGTATGCCACTTGGCTATATTACTACGAGCGAAATCAAGCATCTCTTTCCAGTGTTCAAGGCCCTCTCCTGTGGAGTACATGTAGGGCCCTACTATAGAGCGCCCTATGAGTTTTTTGGCCCCTTTGAGTCTTGGACCATTAATCACTGATACAACGAGACTAACGCGTTCCAAGCATGCTGGTGGAATTGTAAAGACAAAGGCTTCGTTGTAGACAGGATTACAAGTCCTTTTACAGATGGCTGTTTTCTTTTTTCTGCAAGTTTTTCCTCCCATAACCATTGACACTTTGACATAAGGATCTAAATAAAAAATATGAAAACATTATTTTCAATTTAACTTAAGCAGTGCAGGGCCACAACTAGGGGGGGAGCACAGGGTGCACGTGCACCCCCCCATAAAAGCTTAAGGTCTGCTCATCCATCTCTTTTTTTTTTTTTTTTTTTGGTTGTTCTTTCTTTTGGTTACCTTTTTTTTTGGTTCTGCTTTCTCAAAAAAAAAACCAAAAAAAACGATCAATGGCCCGATTTTATTCGATGTGCACCCTCCCTGTAAATGCTCTGGTTACGGCCCTGCGGTGGTGAGTTCATATCATTCTCTTGAGAATCAGCTTCTTTGTTTGGATTGTAACCCTATACATGTGTAACCGATAAACAATGGAATAATACTCTAGGAAATAACACGGTAAAGATGTCTATTCTAGGTAGAATACCCTTTACAGTGCTTGTCAATAGCACGCGCGAAATCGTTGTCGCGACGAACTAGGTTTTGGTGGACGTCCATCTAAAATTGGAAACTTCATCTTTTTTTTCGACGATGTCATGTAAATACTAAGATTGACGTAAACCATATTTTATCGCAACGACTTCACGCATGTGATTTCGCGCGGTAAAGACAGAAAAATATGACTGTTTTGTATGATGATGATTGTGACATACATAGTTCTCCATGTTCACCCTCTATTCTTAGATTTCTTGCTTTCACAATGGCTATCGTCAAGCGGCTTGCCGTGGGAAGGAACTGAAGACTAAAATTGATTTCTCCTTTTGGAAAGGCAACCTAATAAAAAATCAGAATAATAAGAACTTTGTCATAAATTATGTTTTATTGTATTTGTTATATATTTTTGAGCCGTCGTGCTTTGATTCACCTTAGGATCTTCCTCGCAAACATCCATCCATATTTCATTGATATCATCACTCATTAAAAATTCAATATCCGTCAAATTATACATCACGTGACCAATGACTTGTTGACGTGAGAAGCGATCATAGTCGCAGACAGTAAACTTCAATGTCCGCGTGTTTAAGTCTCTTTCTGGTACAAGAAATACAAAATCTTCGAAAAATTCTGGATTCGAAGTGCGGTGTCTAATCTTAGATTGCACCCTTTGGCGTTTGTCAGGCAGCAGACATATCTTGACGTAAGGCGTGGCTGTAACATTTTCGCCTTTTGGTGTCAGTCGAGTTGCTCTAATAAGTTTCACTCTAAGTTTCTCTGAATATTTGTTGTAGTTGACAGAAAAACATAAACGTCCGGGTCCCATGTATGGAGATCCAGGGAGACGTGCATCTTCGTAAGACCTACAAGAGGACAAAAAATCCCACTTGTCATTTGTATATAATAGTTATACAATGCTTTCTCGTGACACACCATGGAATATCCCACTTGTCACTTGTATATAATAGTTATACAATGCTTTCTCATGACACACTATGGAATATCCCACTTGTCACTTGTATATAATAGTTATACAATGCTTTCTCATGGCACACCATGGAATATCCCACTTGTCACTCGTATATAATAGCTCTACAATGCTTTCTCATGACACACCATGGAATATCCCACTTGTCACT